GTTTTGGGGTTTATTAAAAACCTACAAAGTGCCTCTCATAAATGACCGAGTTTAGATGAGAGTCAGTTATCCGGACGATTCATTTATCCGGACGATTTGGCCTGGAACCAAAGTATCCAGATTAAACGACGTCCATGCACTGTAGCGCAATTTTAAGCTTTTTTTCAATCATGGTCCCTGTGGCTAGTGTGGGGCCACAAGTTTACAGGGGGATATATAGGAAAAGGGGGCTTTCAAAACATTCTTCTCAAGAACGACCGTGCATTTTTAGTTAATGTATTGATCCTCGGAAAGCCAAGGATGATATTACGATTCGTTCCTCTCGTCATCAGGATGATTATGCCAAAACCAGACGTGTACATTCATGTACATGTATTTTAAAATGCACCTGCGACTAAATTGGTCTTATTCATCTAACACGTGGAAGGCATTGAAATTGCATAAAATTTTTTTGCTTGTGTGTGAAAGACTAATCAGCAAATGCTACCCCTCACGGAAAAAGAGGATTTTGTTAAGTTTTCGGAGGTGTAGCTTCGCAATTTGTGTTTACAGTGGAACAGAAATCTGCGACTGGAAGTCTGACGCCCTGCTTATGACCTTCAGTAACTTTCATGATGACATTTTTGTAACTCGTTTATTAATTTATTTATTCTCTTAAAAATAAAATAAAAATTCGGAACCATAAAAATACTATTTTATACGAAAGCCTATTAGGATCAATCTATGGAGAAAAAAAGGCGTAATAACGCGAAAAAAGGCGTAATAACGCGAAATAAAGGCGTTATTACGCCTTTTTAAAAGGCGTTATTACGCCTTTCCAAAAGACGTTATTATGCCTTTCCAAAAGGCGTAATCCAACATTTTAAAAAGGCGTATTTACGCCTTTCAAAAAGGCGTATTTACGCCTTTCCAAAAGGCGTTATTACGCCCTTTATTTTCATCCAAAATGCGGTAAATTACGCCTTTTATTTTCAATACATGACTAACTTAGACCACGCCGGGGGCTGAAATCTTTCCCTCGGGACATGAATTTCACAATTAAATTTAGGGCTCATTTCTCAAAAAGGATTTAAACATAGATGATAATAATTATATTTGGAAAAAAAAGACTTTTAAATGTATAATATATTTTCAATGTTTAACCAACTTAGTCCTTCTCTGATGCCAGAGACCTCTACCAAATTTTACGTCATAGATTTCACAAATTTGGTTGAAGGTTAATTGCTCATTATACCTATACAAATAGTTTGCCGGTTTTTTTTTTCCCAAGAGGAGAGAAAAATATTCACAAATTTGACATGAATTTTTAATACATGGCCAGCAAAGCCCCAAGCTGCATCTGTCTATATCTCGGAGTGTTGACTTCTCTTAATACGCATGCAAACAGTTGTCTGCAAGATGTGCAGAAATATAGAAAATACTTTTAAAAAAGATGGCTTTGATTCAATCTCTCATATATTTATTACTATAAAATAACGCTTTTTCCATTTTTGGATATACCGCTAGGCCGGTAGTGCGGGGGGGGGGGGGGGTCCCCCTCCCCACTTTCATGGAGAATAGTCTTGCTATAGTTTAAATATAAAAAAGATCATTTATTGGCTGCTTGGTCCCTGAACAGTTAGTTGCAGTATGGTTAAACTCTGGTAAATTATTGCATTTAAAAAAAGTTTTACCGAAAAGTTAGAAAAAATCCCCTTCGAGGTTAGGCAATTGATTTTTTTTTCGGAGTGGGGGGGGGGTCTTGTTTCTTGTCAAATTTTTTCTAGGCTGCCCCTCCCCCTTTTCAAAAGCACGGGCCTGTCAAAGACATAATGATTGCTATTCAAAAGGCATAATAAGCCTTTTCGAAAGGCGTTATAACGCCTTTTAAAAAAATTGTCCTCCATAGATTGATCCTAATAAGCTTTCGTACCAATAGGCGTTCGTATATTTGCTAAGTTACTGTGTCTAAATAAATTCTTAGGAGGAGGGATGGGGGTACATCAACCATTCGTCAAGTGCCTGTGATCCAACATTGTACAAAAAATACTATGGTTATGTTTACCTGCACGTGACCTTCCAGGTGAATATAAGAATGGGGATGGGTTCGTCCCCAAGCACCTGTGAATCCTACTTATGTGCCTTACATTTTTTTTTCCTACATCACACCTTAAATAGATTTAAAATTAATACAACTGATTATGTTTGTTTTCACCCTGTTTCTCTCATTATGTTTGGCTTAAGGACTACAGGAAAAGTAAACAATTAGATGGCATTGATTGCTTAATGACTTTGTATCATTTAATCATAATTAAACAATTATTGCTGTTTTCGGGGTGTCAGTACGATTATTAAACCACCTTCAGAGTACAATATTGACCTTGCCCTTTGGGCTCAGTGAATATCGTACTCTTCAGGTGTCTAAATCATGGTGTTGACCTCAAAAACAGCAACAATTGTATAATATCCAAATCTGTGAGGGTGTAAAGTTTAAATGAATTCATGAAATGTGAGTGCATCCCTGTTTTGCAAATAAAATAGTGCTAATGAGTATGAATCTTGTTTAAATAATCATAATGCCCATATTCAATGGACTTTGACCATATTTCCTCTGCTAAAACAAAATGACTGTTATAAATATGCTTATACATGTAAATATAAACATCAATCACATGGTCAATCTTCAATGCAAGTTTAACAAAATAACAATGATAATTTTGAACAAAATTTTATTTCAAAAACTATCAGGAACAATCAACAATTTAAAACATTGAGAATTTTAATCAAATAACTGCAAATTTGTTCAGTCAAAAGAAGCTTGCATACTGACCCTTGAAAAATAATGCGTTACAAAAGCTTTTATTAAATAAAAAATGTTCTGTCCAAAAAGAAAAAAAGTTTACTAAGATTGGAACACCCCCCCCCCCCCAAAAATGAACAAAACAAAACACCCCCCCCCCTTCCTAAAATAAAATAAATAAACAGACAAAAATATTAAGAAAAAAAAAAGGAAACAAACAAAGAAACAAAAGAAAAAAACAATCATATAAAACAAAAACCCATATAGACACTTACAATTTATAGCAGTGCATGTTTCATGCTTTATATGCATATCATAATAAAAATAAAGACAAATACTTCCTTAATTAATATCAGTGTAACAGATAATACAATAATTAGAAATAAAATTGCATTGAAGTTGCATTGAAAATAGGAGACATATATCACTACGAAGCTTTTTATAATTCCCTGATTTTCATTCCGACTCATTATTTTCATTAGTTTTTAAAAATAATACAACAACACTTGTGTTTTTCCTGAAAGAGACAACATACTGACAGATCGTTGTAAAAACTGAATATATTAAGAATTGTTACCAATATGAAAAATAAAAGACTCAAGAATATAAATAGAAAACACAGTGACCCAGATTTGTTTTTAAGTGCTTAGATGTAAAAATACTGAATCCATTATCTATGTACTGTAATATTTATTTATAATATGTGTGTGCATGCTTGTGGAAAATTCTGTCATAACACTTTCAATTTTTAATTGCTGACTGTGAACAGTAACATGGAAATGAAATGTACACTGCCTACTGCCTTGTCAATTAATCTCCCCTCCCCCCCCCCCCCCCCCCAAATTTGCATTTGATAAGTTTTAAGTTTTCAGATATATACATGTATTCAGGAATCAAAAGGAAGCACTATGTGTATAATAACTAAGGCAGCCATGATAAATAAGAGAATGAGGTAATGGCAAGACATATTGTACCTTTTCTATGACTGCTAAAAGTGTTACAACACAGCTAGGATACAAATTTTATTTTTTCAGGGTTTAGACATTAAAAAAAGTTTTCTTGTATTATTTTTTTCTGAAAATTCATTTGCTTTACATCAAACAAAATTATCAAATGGAAGGTGCCTCGGTAGGCCTTAAGGACTCAAAAGTTACGTTATTTATAACCCTGAAAAAATCCACCAAATCGTAACATACCACAAATACAGACCTTGATAATAAAACTGCAATAAATAGGATATAAATTAGAACTACATGGAGTATATACTTAAGTTATTAGAACAAAACATGATATATATTTCTGGTTAAGTTTTAAGTTACACTGGACAACTGTCCACTATACCCAAAATCACCTTAGCCCATACAAGTAGTTATAAACACAACAAATTTGATGAGAGCATAGAACATCAACAATGTGATGAAAGGACAGAATATATGGCTCACTGAGTATCACCTGTATACAATGTATGTATTTCATTAGCTGAGATAAGTAAAGGTGACTGATTGAAGAAGAGTTGTGACTGACCTGAATTTGGGTTAATAGACCAAAACGGGATAGTTCACAGCTTAATAAATTATCTGATTGATGAAATGAAAGCTCTACAAATTGTCTTTTAGTTTTTGTACATTTTTCCAATGAAAATGTTATTGGGTAAAGAGTAATGTCTAATGGACTAAAATACACACTCATGTAGATCTACACTAATTAAAAAAAAACAGTATTAGTATTGCTGAGTAAAGTTTTCGACATGTAACAATATAAACAACCATTAAGTATGATGATAACAAAACTCTGCACAACTAGATTTGTATGGCTTCAAATTCAAGCTTCATTTTCAAAAAAAAAAAAAGAAAAGAAAAAAAAAAGAATAAAATCAAAAATGAAAAATATGAGACTTGTTGATAATTTAGAATTCTAATATATATGAACTAAAATGAACACAATCTGTCAGAAACTAATACCCATATAATGACTTTTTTGTTTGGGTTATCAGGACATACAATATAGCACCATAATTGGTAACATTATGGAAAATGCATGTAAAAATGTACCGGTTGAGTGTTTAAATGCAGATTCTTGATATAAACTCTTACAATAAAAAAACTGATTGAAAACAAAGGATAAAGAATTAATAACAAATGTTGTATTTAAAAACTGACAATATGACACAGCTTCTTTATGTTCAGCAATTAAAAAAAATATAGAATATTAGGAGATTACTATTCTTGATGTAAGTAATCCAACAGTAATTGCATGATTTCAGAAAAGAAAAGAATGTGAGAGAGAATCATTTTTATAAACCTTAAACTTTCAGTTATATATGTATGAGCATTCACAGGAATCAACCTCAGCTATCACTATTTCACAATTCTAAACACACAGAAATGACTATAACACTGAAGTCAACCATCCAACACAACAAAGGACTATCTCTCTACTGTAGCTACAATTAATGAAGAAAAAACAAACAAATCTGCAAAAGCTTGCAAAGTTCAACAGATTATTATCAGTAATATAACACTAATTAACAATAACTAATCAATAAATCAACAATTAATATACAGTTTGATCAATGACCATTGAACTCTATGAGATGCATTTGGCATGAACTGGCATGATCTTATCCCTTTCCTAAGGGGTTGTTCAAAATGGCTCCACTTTATGATACTTTGAGGGTCTTTTCTAGAAGCTCATCGATAGGGCTGTCAATGACAGACAGAGAAATTCCCAGTTGGGCAGCGTAGTACGTCAGCATAACAATCTGATGTTGAAAAGGTACAGGAAATCGGAACTTGTTTACAGCAATGGTGAGGTCTGAGATAACAAAAAGTATGGAGCCAATGCATCCGCAAAGTTTGGTCCAGGTCCACAGGTCATTGTAGAACTCTACTCTAGCAACTGCTCTCCAAGCCATAGTGCAGATAAGGGTTATGTAAGCTGCAACTATGTAAAGCATTACACCTTCCAGTGCTGGGGCCAGGAACATGTAGACAAGTGCTCCCAGAGAAGCGAAGCCAAGCCCATGGAGGATCTTCCTTGGACGCCATCCAAAAGCCCGCGCATAGGAAAACTGGGCTATGGCAAACATGAAGATGCCCACTTCAAAATAATCGGGCCACACTAAGAAGGCATCACCTAAGCAGGAGAAAACCAGACCAATCAGAATTCGGCGTGAGTAGCGATAGTATTCGGTCTGGTTCATTCCATGAACGATCACGAACAGGATCAGGGAGATAATAGGGAGACATTTTACTATACAGAAGAATATTGATTCATCTCTGCTGTCATCTCCAAACAAAACGAAAAAGATGGCCACAGTCTTGAAGAAGGGAACAAGAAAGGGACCCACACTCTTCACCTGAAACACATCAAAAAGAGAAATACATGTAATTGACATTGAAGTAATAAAACTGTGGAATTGTGGATGTGCATTAACTTTAGCAAAATTTGTGTTTCTGCTAGCTGTCTAATTATCAAATCATTTGGTTCTGTTCTTCTTAATAGATATATACTTGTGCCCAAACACATATATCCTTGAATTACTGCATTTATACCCCCCCCCCCCCAATAATATACCCATTTATCCAAAAAAAAAAAAAAATGAACAGAGCACACTTGAAAAAGCTAGAATAACAAGTATTGTGTGTATTTAAGTATGAGAAAGCTGATTGGTCTCCTTGACGTAAATTGTTGAATTCTGCTTCTGATTTAAGAAAGCGTGGAATAATGACGTAAACAAATTAAATCCTCTCACCAGGACTAAAGGGGATTTATTGGTGACCTTGTAGTCCTGGACGATTCTGCTGAAGGCAAGGATGTGCATTTCCACACTCATAAGTAATTGTCTGATGATACTCTGATTTAAAAGTCACTTCAAGTATCTTTCCCTGTGGTGTTCCTTCACTGACCACTTAAATGTTCATGTGACATTTTGTAGTACTTTGTTAATCTTTATGTATGTTACAGTATAGTGTGATTTTTATGAATCATTAAAGCCTCTTCAATGGTACAAAGTCCAGCCACAACAATTTTGGCAGCAAAAAGGGTGTTTTTCTATACCGATATTATACAACGTCAGGTTCAATAATGAAATTTGAATACTTTATTTAAATTACCTGAGACGGGGCATTATCCTTTAAATTATTTACCCTATAGAACACAACAAATATGTACAATATTGCAACAGTTTATGTAAACATTAAGTCATACTGAAAATTTTTAAGATCAATGACTGATTAAAAGATGACAGAGCTGCTAACACATATAGTTGACGGATGATAGATATGATAGAAAGCTAGTGTCACAGAAAAAAGTTCAACATTAGATAAATTCTTTCATTCATTTAAGTGCTTACATTTTCATGTTTAAGATTTATTTAAAAAAAAGAAAAGAAAAGAAAAAGAACTTTCAACTAGTAGTACATGTAATGTAAATAATCATGATTTTCAAGAGACTGGCAGACTGCACCTATGAACACACCTTGAATCAACAGGTAAGTAAATACAATGAATAATACTTAGGGCCCAGTGTGCTGCTCTAGCTACAGGCCTTATTACATATAAGTACACAAGTAAGTCTGAATAGCCAAGTTTTCTAAGTATTAACAGGAAAAGTACATGTCAAAAAGTGTGAAGCCCTCACAATTATTTTATGTCTTGTACATTTCATAAAAGCACAATAAAGTTTTCAAATATATGATCATTTTTATCATTGATTATCAATTTCTATAATTTATTTTTATGAGGATTGTCCCTAAGACCCGGGGGCCGGGGGAATTTCCTCGCCTATAAAGACATCTCCCAGTAATTCTGGTATTCTCCCTCAACTCTCTGTTAGGGAAAGAACCCAAGAACCCCTTCTACTTTTTTAATGTCCCCTGCTATTTCAATTCTTGGGGACAACCCTATTTATCCATCTATTTTTTTCTCTCCAGTATCCATTTATATTTTGGCATCATTTGCAATTGGAATTAGATTTAAAAAAAAAAGAAAGAGTTAAGAAGTTGAGTTACCAGTAAGTAACATGTAAAACTGTATGTTTGCAAAACAATTTTGTCAGTAAATATTTTTTTAATACAGTATATATATATACACCTATGCCCTAATTGTGTTACTTTAAAATAAGTAAATGAATGAATATGATGACAAGTTGTCAACAAGGGTCACATGGTTATGAGACAAAAACAGGGCACTTTGCCAAAATGTCAAAAAATTTAAAAAAAAATCATTTTCAAAAATTCAAAATTCATCTTGCAAAAGACAAAATAATTAAGTTTTTTCTTTACATTGAAATTTTTTATGACGAATAAATTATAAACAAGTGGTGCATTAAGTCACTATAATAGTTATAAATAGCTGTATAGTCACGTTGTAACGTATTGTGATTATCATTGCAAGGTGGCATGTATTCTTGAAACAGATTCATTTTAAATAATTATAATTTGCAAGAACCTATAAAGCTCCCCGACATTTGAAAGACGACTTTTTACCAAACCCCCCCCCCCCCCCCCTCACATACGTCTGTTCAGCGAAACGTTCTGCTCATTGTTTGGCGAAGGAAAATATGGCGCATAAATGATGAATTATTATTTGATGCCTTTTGAACAAAACAATGTTCCTTTTCAGTCTCTCATGTTTTAGATGATATAAATAAACAGAAAATTCAACTTACCACAGTTTTTGGACTAAGATTTGTCATGGTTATTCCTTTTCTTTCTTGTCTGCTTCAATGTTTTTGTACAGCTGACTTGTCCTTGTCTCGTCTGTGTTTACGTGTGCTATAATTAGATGGGTTGTTTACGTCACGATGCAAATTAGAGCATGTGGTATAACTAGTGCGCCCAATTGTCCCGGATTGCGGCTTTTCACTCATATTCATTATACCTAAACAAAATCGCGTCATACTTCCAAGTCACATTTGCTGTGTGGAAATATAAACCCCACATACATAAAATTTTCATCAATTTTACGCATAATATATACTAGACTAGAAATGTCACATACCCAAAAGCTGTAAAAATAGCCTAATCCACAGGGGCTTGCTCCTGGCGTGTAAAAATATTTATTAAAAAAAAAAAACAAAAACAAAACATATACGATATACTCAAACTTTTAGCATATCGTATATGTTTTTTTTAATAAATATTTTTACACGCCAGGAGCAAGCCCCTGTGCCTAATCTTATGGATTTACTACTTCATTTGAGAAGGTGAAATTTCTAGTTCATTATATTGCAAGTAAATTGTTGATTGGTTGGTTTATTTATTTATATATTAAGAATTTAAATTCACACAGCGACCGTGACTGGAAAGTATGGACCGATTCTGTATGAAAAATCGCAGCAGTTGGGAGTCGGGTCCAGAATACTACTTATACCACCTGCTGCAAATGAACCAGGAATAACTAGTTATCTAGTTTGTCATTGGACAGATTTGGAGGAGTGTTTGTACTACATCCAATCAAAATAGAAGTGATATTTCGTTACGTTAGTATTCATTCAATTATAACTGTGTTTTTGATTAGCTGTTTCTTATTGGAATTGACCATTCAGAATCATTCTTATATACTGAAATTTATTAAGATGGTGCAAATGAGATGAGGAAGTAACTCGTTAGCTTTAGAACTCATGGTATGGCTGCTATCCGTCAACTGGTAGGCATAGACAAAGACCAAGAGTTACTCGAAGCAGCCAGACACGGGAAATGCGAGGTCATCGAGAAACTCCTGAAAAAATCAACAAGTGGGAGTAGCCTGCTGACCAATCTAAGGTTGGTTAGTGTACAGTTGTAACAGGAACGGCATTGCGTAACATTACACTACAAGGGTGTCATCTATGTAATCTTATGTATCCTGACGTTTTTCGAAACGTGCATTAAAAAGAATGCCAGTTTTATTGATGCAGTAGTCCTTGCATGAATAAATTGATGCTTTTAAAGTTCTATAAGATTTACGAAAAATAAAACGCCTTTTTTTTCAAATCCACATCGAGCATATAATGATATATAAAAAGTGAAAAGATGCATGCCTTGTTACTTGGTTATATTCTAAATCATAAAATGTAAGAACTATCTTACATTACTTTATAAATTGTCATAATTTAGAACAGGTACAATACATGTACTACAAATATATTCCCTGTTTTTATGGAGTACATACTAATTTAAAGAAAAGTAATAGAGGTATTTCTGTGATGCTATTTCAATACAGTTCGTTTTTGTCTTTCAATCTTATCAACACATTTTATGGTTGGGTTTCCAGTTGATCCAGGGACATTGTATAACAATAGGATAGGCAACTCTTGCAAATTGTGATATCTCACATATGTTGCAGGATTTCAAATGTCAATTTTGATTTAATTGATATATCCCTATAATGTTAACAAATATATTAGAACAAACCCTTTATAATTATATGAACAAATTATTCAAGATTTGTTATTTGCACTGTATATATACTCTTTATCTTAGTAGAAATACCTATTTTCAGAATCAACGCGTGCCCCAGATACAGTAAAAAATGGTTATAGCAAACACGCTTATAATGAATTAACACTTACAGTGAAGTGATTTTCATTCCCCTTAGTTTTAAAGCATGTTGTTAACTGAACGGATATAACAAATTACGTTTATAACGAATTAAAATTGTTGGTCCCTGGCACTTTGCTTTAAGCGTTTTTTACTGTATATAGAATTTGGGCTCATTGACAGTATTATGTATGTCCAAGCATTGATAGCTTGGTTTTTTCTCTTTGCAGTAGTTTTTTAAAAGTTAACATCAACTGTGTGGATAGAGAGAAAGACACGCCCCTTCACCTTGCTGCACTCAATGATCATGTGTAAGTAAAACACAAGATACATTGACTACTATAGGTCTAAAGTGAAACTGATGAACTAGCATAGTGTTACTGTCAAAGAATATAAAAACATTTAAATGCTTTCTTCTGTACAATGCTGTTCCTATGATTGATTACTTCTGATAATCCTAAGGACATGGGTACACATGAACCAAACAAATCTTATTTTCTGAGTGAAACTCATGTAAATATGATTATCTATGCAATCTCTTCATGTTGTTGAATAGAAATTGCACAGTTGCTTTTGAATGTGACCCAGCATCTCATTATTGTAAGATTTAATGGGTAAATTTTTTTTCTTTATTTGTACAGGTAACTCTTGATACCTCGAAGTCTGCGGGACCGAGGAAAAACTTCGAGAGATCAAGAGTTCGAGTTTTCAATAGTCCGGAATTTTCTGGGTTTGTTGACAGGTTTTATTAGTCTTACCGGATGTAATGATTTTCATGCAGTGCTAACCTTTTACATGTGGCTATTATAAAACAACGATATTTTTTCATATAATTTAGATGAATATTTCATTAAACTGAGTAAACCAAAAAATGTATATAGTCATTTCATATTTATGTATTTATTCTTTGTAATACGGACATCATACTAAGCATTCGTTACATGAAAACAACATTTTACAGCGTCGTACATAGCACTGACTATTCCAATTGAAACATGATCATTGAACGCAGTTCTGTAAGTATTTGTCCAATAATAGTCGTCATATTGACATTGAGGCTATTTCTGCTTTTTCATATTTCGTTTAACTTTGACACTGACTCAAATAAAAATTAAATTAGTATTTCGTCTTTTAACCAACTTCTACTTTTCACTGACACTGCATCTCTAAATTATCGTAAGACAGTCGATGATAATTATTTCAATAATGTATAGGCAAAAATAATTAATTATAATTCAATTTTCACCTTGCAGCATAAGTGTCACCTGAATAAACATCCCGTTCCTCGAGACCCGCGTCTTCTGCCAGGGGCATTTAAATGTAAAGGTGCTAATTATATAACCTTGTATACACAAAACCACTTTGAGGTATCGAGGGTGAATTCTAATAGAATACGCATAGCGGGACCGCATTTTGACTTCGAGGAATCAAGGGTTTCGAGAGATCAAGAGTTCGAGAAATCAAGAGTAAATTTGCTTAGTTATATAGGGGAGAAATTCGGGACCGGAGACTCACTTCGAGCGATCAAGAACTTCGAGAGATCGAAGTTCGAGCCATCAAGAGTTACCTGTACATGTATATATTTTTTTTCTTGATTCAAGTTCTAGCTTGTATTTTCTTTTCATGGTATACATTTGTTAGATGAGTAGATGGGGAGGGGGTCATTGGTAGGGCTGGGACGATATATCGAGATATCGATAATATCGATTCAATGTGAGGATGATACGCATATCGATATGTATGAAGAAATATCGACATATTTCCCAAAAAATTCTGACTAATGTTTTTCTTTGTTAACTTAACATTTTGGGTTTAATATGTAAAATAAATATGCTTAATATAAATAGGAATATGAAATACATAATAATTAAGACCAAAATAATTAAGTTTTACAACAGATATACAACTTCTTTGAATAAATTATTCTTATTTGTGAAGAAATATCTTGTTCATTTCAATATAAAAAAAGAATTTATAACCAATTAAACATATCGTGATACATATCGTATCGTGGCTCAAATATCGGGATACGTATCGATATAGAAAAAGTTGTATCGTCCCAGCCCTAGTCATTGGGTGTGTTTGGTGGTGGTGCGTGGGGCAATAATCATTTTGTCAGCCTCTGATAACAACTGCTGACAGGGGACCTTATATCAGAGACCAGTTCTTGCTAAGTGCGCATAGCAAACTTAAGCATACATGTATTTTTTGTGTGATTTGTGCGGGACTTCTTGTTGTTTCCAAGACCTTTAGTTTTTATATATGATATTATATTCATGTATTGGTAAAGGGATAATAGATACTCTTAGACTACTAGTGTTTGGGAGATTTCATGTCTGTCAACTAAATAATGTGCAATACCCATAGACATATTACGTCAATTGAAAACACCAGTAGATTCAGCTACAATTACCCGGTACTTGATATTGCAATTACTTAACAGAACTCTTTCACAGTGCATGTAGGAAAAGTCCATAAGCAAGGGACATCGGCTGTTGAAAAATCTTATCATGGACTATAGATTTTTCAAGGACATGACTGTGGAATATCTTGCTGAACATTCAGTGAACTGTGCTTGTAAAACTGAAAAGAACCTAGTCCTCTTGTGTTACTTTTTTGTTGATACTAATTTGCAATAAGCCTACTCCTCTAATAAATTAATTTAACTATTTGTCTCTGAAGATCAATACTTTTGGAACTCCATAAAATACTCTAAACATTCTGAATTAGAGAACTTACTACCTTTAGTGCAACCCTTGGCAATACATTTTACTTTTGACATACTGATTGTTCCATTTATTCGATTGTCAGTAGTGTAAACAAAGTATGTCCCAGAAAATTCACAAGATTTAGAGCTTCCTTGATTGATTTTGCTGCAAAATAGTGACACTAAGCTGTAACTTAAGTAATTGCAACATAAAGGTATTAACCCCACTTTTAAATAATTAATTCAGATGATTTATTTTTTATATGCCCATCTTAAGATGGGACATATTATGGTATGGCTTTCCTGTCCATCCATCTACATGTAGCTGTCTGTTCGTCTGTCTATTACCTTTTTCATGCCTGGCTCATAACTTTTAAAATACTATGAGGTCTAGAATAATTGAAAATTTGTCAGCTGATACATCTTAGGTAGAAGGTGTATAGGTTGCTGTGATCTTTAATCAAATACGATATGGCCATGCAAATATGGCAAAACACTGTCCAGGTCATTACTGCATGGGAAACTGTTAGGCATAGAATCATCAAACTTGGTCGATTAATTAATGCATCTTAGACCGAAGGTATGTTGATTCCTATATTAAGGTCACTATGATCTTTAATTAAGGTGATAATAAAAAAACAACTGTATTTTAAGGAACATAGCCCACAAATGTAAGAGTGTTACAGTAACCTTATTCAAAAATGTAACTATGTTCACATGATTTAACATTTATAAGGCTGAGGCTGATATACAGTCGTGAACTTGAGGGAAAAGATGCTTAGGATGTACTACTTACATGTACTCTAAAATTCTTTTCATTAAGTACAGTAAAAAATGTTTAATCTGACACCTGTGCAATCCATTTCATTGTGAAACTGACCTATAATACTCGTTTCAGTGTTCTTTAAACCGTGCAAAAACTGACACCCTGTCTATTCTGACACAAAACTTGTGTCCCAGTGCATGTCAGATTAGTTCTGAAGTTGTTCAAATTATACTAGTACATAATAGGGCACCAAAGGTTTACATTGGAATTTATACATGTAAGAAAAAATTGTTTTAAAAAATTTCTTTGGAATAAAGAACAGGGCCACAAGAATCTAAATACGCATGCTGTAGTGATTGATTTAGGTTTTTCAAGATATCTTTATCAAAACTCTTACACTGAAACATATTGATGGGAGCTATCTGACTAAAGATTCATAATTATTTGACCTTGACTCTCCATAATTCAGTGATTCATTTTGGTGTGTGTCCTGCGTAAATTACGCACAAATTTTGCCCAGGATGCATTATTTCAATAAATGTGCATCCCAATGGACGCGGTCCTACTAAACAGAGTACGCTAGTACGATAGAGTACTTTAGAGTACGCTAGTAAAATTTAATAATTTAATGCAATTTAACTACTTTTTGTATGTTTTTCTACTTTAGTTAAACATAATGAATATATATTTTAAATTAGATTTGTATGTTTTCCTTATTTTAGGAGTTATTTCAAATTCTGATTTCAGGTGACGGTTTATCGTTTGATCCTGATCTAATTTAACTTGAACATGTTGAAATGTTTCATTGTTAATGTAAAAAATATTTATATAGGGCGATAAATTTAATTTTTGATAAAATTTAGTTGAAGTTAGTAAGTCTGAAACAAAATATTAATCGAGATCAGAGTGTTAATAATCTTTAACAGTTTAATGCATTGAATCATGAATGTTATTTTCTTGTCAAAATAGCGCTAAAAACAAATGTTTTGAAATAAATATTGCAATATTAGTTTATAATAATGTTTAATCGAGTTATATTTACATAAATAAACAATTAAATTGCATTAAACTACACATTTTTTCTAGCGTACTCTAAAGTACTCTATCGTACTCTGTTTAGTAGTACCCCAATGGACGCAATAAATTTATAGAAGGGCATGTACTATTTAAAATTATTTCGGTATAATCTGATTCAAAATTTGACCGATTGCATCATATCCACGTGCTAAGCGATATGCATGAACTATTTTAACAGGTATAAGGTTGCCAACAACAGGTCAGATTTCATAACTGCAGTTAAAAGCAATTATCAGAAAATATTTGAGAGTTAGCATAGTTCGATTATCACTGATAACGTCTATACTGTGGAACGTTTCTGAAGAGAATACTATACCTTTGTATTTAAGCTGTACCCTGTATCATTGTTTGTTGTTTTTTTGTTTTTCGATTTTTCCTTACAAGCTAAGAAGTATAAAATTTAATCATTTCTATTTCTGACTATTTGTCATTTCTTCTTAAACTTTTTTTTTTAACTTCATTCTGCTTCTGTGCATTTTATGACTGATACAATGTGTGAGATCGTATACATGTACGATCTAAAAATAGAACCAAAGTGCACAGTGGACAGTATATTATTTTTATGACGCAAAATCACGTACAGTCTTGGACAATTGATAGTAAAAGTATAAATCACTCACGGCTACAATAAAACATTTGCACTTTCGTGCAATACCCTTTTTTATTTTACCAGAATTTCCTCTGTAACATCTAATATACAGTACCCTTGGATTTGGACGCATTGATTTTGGCACGGGACTCATTGTTGTCTTTAAGAGGGG